AGATATTTCATTGTACAAGCTGAGCAAAATCAGCACACCAGAAACATAGTACAAGATTGGATTCACACTCGGCAGGTAAGCTTGTTATATGTCATACATATGGATATTCACTTTTTACCTGTATATAATCACAATTTAACCATTATTGTTTCCTTTTAGATACAACCAACAGATCTCCACACATGCTACAGAAGAACTGAAGGAGTACATGCAGCTTCAATGCTGAACCACAACAAATTGCAAAAAACTGATTTACTTAATTATTTACGAGCACCCGACACAAACTCTCGCTGCATATTTCCAAGTTGCAACAGTTCCTTACAGCATGTAGTCCCATATGCTTTAAGGGTGAGGTTCTTTAGGGATCATAAATATTATATACCACCAAATAGTCGTATATGTGTGTCACATCTTGGAAGTCAAAGGTAGTCAATTTTATTTGAAGCAGAAAATGTGCAACAACTTTTTTATACATAGAAGAATTTTGTGAATTATTAAAATATGATAAGACAAGGTTGGATTTTGAAAAAATTGATGATATGGAAGATAATGTAGGTTGGTACTGGCTAGGACGTAAAGTTACTTTATGTCTTTGGGTGGTGGAAGTAGTAAATGGGCGCTTTAAGCGAGATTTTAAGTTGCTGCGACAAGAGTATTGTAATAATTATTCAAAGAACTTAATTCATGATTTTGAGGTCGCAGCAGCTTTAATAGACAGATTTCACCCTGTTTTGGTTGATAGAGAAAATGCTAGATATATTGTATCTGTAATACAAGAACGAATATTTGAAGAAAATTATTTAGCTGATTTTGTGGAACTTCATAACTTGAACAGGGAACGGACACACTTTCGAAGCATAACTGTAGAAAGAAATAAAGTAGATTTTCCACGAATGGAGTATAAAGATTTAATTTGAATTTCCCTAAGAATTTATCAGATAAAACAGACCCGCTCATATTATGGTGAACATATCAGACAAGATGGATCATATATTATTGAAGTGTGCAGGGAGGTTGACAGTGAGTTATGGAGTAGTTATATTATATTTATATTTTAACAGATGCTACTCTGAATGGCAGATATGCTATAATTATGAACTAACGGATAGACAATTAAGCTCCCCCTTGTATGTTGATCAATCTCCTAGAGATATCTGTCAAAAATATAACCTCAAAATCGAAAAGATTTTTGTATTGTTAACGATTCTCTGAAGTGTCCGTTAATTACATTGAATTTGAGTGGAATGTATATGTTATTTAGTAAAAATATTTTTTCGTAACTAAGAGGCCTTGGGGCGAACAATGTATGGGTGAGGAACGTCTTTGTCCTTGTCCTTTAAAACACAGCATTGGTAAGAATAACAAATATCGTTTTGTTATGTATTTTAGTGTCTTCACACATCAGTCAATATTTTTGTTCTACGTAATTTATGTTCATTACGGGCGGACACACTGCGCGGTTGTAGTGACGACATAACGTGCAATTTGGGGCCTCTTTTTTTAAACGTTAACAATTGAGCATTATTAACAGATATTGAGAATTGAGCATTATTCTTTCCTTAAACGAATTGGCTTTTACATAGATGGCCAACAGCGAATAAAGATGGCCCTTCAACAGCACCCTAACTGACACAATGGAAATTAAAGGTTTCGGAAATTATGGTAGATGGATTTGGAGAAAACCAAATTGATGCCAGAGTACCAGCAGGATTGATAATCATGCGAAGAATCGATGAAGCTGCACAGTATGAAATAAAGAGCACTTGTTTAAAAAATTCAATTACCTTTAGAAACAAGCACAAACAATATTATTAATGCATTTAAAGCAATTCTTGCAATGAGAAATTCTTCATATTGAACACTGTGATGCGTGAACATATCAGCTTAGTTTATGATCCTAATTGTAATAAGCGAGTGCGTTGATCCGATAGAGTGTGTAGGTTAAGAGTCCTGGGGGCCAATTCTACTAAATAAATTTTGTTTAAATCGAATCGAAAACGGAACAAAACCGAACGAAACTACAACTTTTAGTGGTTTTCCTATTCTACTCGGTGTCAAAATGGCGTCAAACGATACAGTTCCAGTTCTATTTTAGTTTAGCTAACTATCGATCAACAGAAACTGTAAACGGTATTCTACTCGCTCAATCGAACTTAGTACTATATATGTAGATGTAGTTATGCAAACCGGAACCAACCCACAAATCTGTCAAAATCGAGTTATGTGCAGAGAAGCCTAAAAGTATTGCAATTAAACTCACATGTTGTAAATTCACAAAACTTCTTGATAAATAAATAAAATAAAATATATTCTACAATAAATTATAACTAAAAACAAGAAACCCATTTTTCTCAAAACTGACATCATGTGGCTGGTTTGCATAACTACGTCCATATACTTGAGTCGATCGTCTGCCCTTATTCCACTAAAATTTTGACACTTCTATGGATCGAAATGCCACTGAAACGTTACTAAATCCGAATGTTTCATCTGGCAAAATTAACGATTTTTAAACAGTTGCAAATTTCTACTTTTTGATGATCGATAGTTAGCGTTTAATGATAGATGTGAAACAATTTATATTATTTAAAATCTTAAGAGGTGCAATTAGGTACCCCCAATTGCTGAGTGAAATAAAATACCTTGATCTAACTTCAGAATTAATATTTAAAACATTTTGCCTTACAAAACTAACTTCGGCAAACATATTTGTAGTGTTTGTGAGTGAGTTATCAATAGACTGTAAAGAACATAATAAGTTGTGTAAATCCATTGATATGTTTGCTTTATCATTAATTAATTATAAAAATACCTTATATTAAGGTACCAATAAATTTTAATCTTAAACTGTCTAGCACTTCAAGCATATAAAATTTTCTATCCAATATTATTTATTTCACAAAGATACAAGGATACTTTCAATGAGCACCCTGACGTCTGAAGTAAATATACAAAACCTGGGTATCAAAACCAGATTTCTCATCTAGCTCATGAGAACATAGCAATCCATGTGATATAAATTATGTAAAATGACTAGAAAAAAAATGAAATCGAAAACTATGGAGCTAGATAAACAAGTGTGATAGTGCATGCATATGTTTAATAAACTTTTTATGTACACCATTTCATCTATTTGTTATAGATAGTTGTGTAATTTTAATTTTATTTGTGGTTGCTTATTGATATGTAAAAATGTTGGCAATCTTATTATTAATCTTAAATTACATTTTATAGATAAATTAATAGGTTTTCATTCCTCTCTCAATTTGAAATGTTGAATTCATATTATGTAGATTCTTAACATAAATAAGGTCCACCTAGTTGAGGCATGTAATGTAAATAAAAATCGAAAAATTATATTTCTGTTAAAACTTTACATAATTATAAACAATCATTGCAATCATTGTAGTATTTTTACAGGAAAACTTAAAAGTGTGTATTTACAAGCATGTGTGGAATTCCAATAAAAATGGCACTGAAAAAGTCATTGTTAACAAATTAATTAATTTATCATTATTTTTTCTGATCACTTTTGTCTGCTAAAACCAATTTAACTATCAGATAACCAGCAGGTTTTGTGAATTTAAGAATTACTTGCATTACTAGTGAGCATATTATGCTCATTTATGTTTAGGAAGTTCACCAAAACTATATTAATAATACCATTATAGAGAATAGAATAGAAAATTCTTTATTGTTAACATTACACAAGTTATATAGGTATACAAATTTAAAACAGTTTAACAAAATAATGTAACAATTGACGGCCTTATCGCTTAAAGCGATTTTTTCCAGGCAACCATGGGATGGAGAGAGAGATAACAATTAATGAAGACAGGGGTGCAAATGTTATCAATAACATTAAAAAGAAAATATGATCAAATAATAATCTTAATTAAAAAATTATAATTATGAATATTTTTTTCTGACATAAGTATTACTCACTTTTTATTTGGAGATTATAATATTATAAAGGATTATTACATCATATGTTTAAAGGAATATCAAGTTAAACAGGTAAATATACTGTTTATAAGATTTTATTCTGAATTATTTTTAAATTTTAAAAATTACATAAAATTGAGCTTAGCCTCAGCTCAGTTTTATGTAACATTTGAAATAACATGAGGCTTTCTGTAACCATATATTAAGTTGCGTGCAAGATAAACGTTCAGCATAATTAGTATTAGCTACATGAAAAATACATATTCTACTGTTTTTGACACAAAGTTAAAACCAACCACCAATTTTAACCCAAAGAAAATTGTCATACGCTATGATGGGTTACAATTTAGAACAAAAAAAAATAAGCCTGTGAATCAGGAGCTCTTGTTCAATTTGGCAGGAATTTATATGTGTAAGTTCTTGTATATCAGTTGAACTTATACTTAATTTATCATCATAGTCAGCATGGATGACAGCTGCGAGCAGATCCATGCACCTACAAGAATTTAATTTGTATACTTAATTGTATTTAATTTGTATTTGTATACAAAGATATGTCAAATCATTAATAATTTTCTCTGATCTTATAATATCTAGTCAATAATGACATTTCTAATGGGTTTCTATAACAAACATTGCTTTAAGTTTAATCTTGTATAGATTTTTCACAGTATATATGAGTCTACTAGAATCAAAAACCGCAATGTCCATAAAAAACTTTAATTGTGTTGTCTATGGCATATGAATCTCCAGTGAAAAAATAAAACATTTATTTATTCAATATGGAACTAAAACCGCAATGTCTCATAGAAATTCACATTTAAAAATCAACGTTTGCTACAAAAACTGCATTGTCCACTTGTGTATGTATCCGAATAAGCATTGTCCATCACAACCAATCACGGTCGCGTAAAAAATATGGCGGATTATGATATTTGCTGTTAGGAGTGCTCTCGTTTATTTTCGTTGTTGATGTGATAAAACAGATTTGTAAGCTATAATTTATATAGATAAATGAACTATGGAATGTTATCCCCAAGTGGTGGACAATAAAGATGCTCGAAAACGCCGAGTTGATAGTGAAAAGTGGAAAAAAAAACAAGGCCAAAAATGACCGGTGAGTAAATGACAATCAGATAGTTTTGATACTTTGTTTATAAAGTTTTCAAACTTAGTTTATAATAACTTAATATCGTCTTTTATTGTATAATTTATTTACAAAAATGAAATTTTCACCCCATTTAAACATAAAATTTGCATTTTTTTTATACAGTTCATTTATGATTATTTATTTGTATTTTATTTATAGACTATTAAAATATCTTTGCGAATAAAATCAAAATCATCTATATTCTTTCATCATTTCAACACCGAAATTTCATACTTAGATATTGAATTATATTCTGAGAATTAGCTTTACGTTCGTATGTTTATTTTAAGTTTAGTTTAACATCGAAGCATAACGAAACAGTAAAAACATTAAATGTATGCGACTCCAAAAATTTCTCAGCGACAATAAATTTGTACCTACCTAATAACACCGTATCACCCGTCAAACATAACCTTATAATGGCAGGTAAAAATGTTAAACGAACTAAATGAGTACCTACAGATCTGAAATTTTGTTGTTCCAGATATGCTCCAAAAGACTTACCTTTTAAGCCAACATGTTCACATAAAGACAAAAAGCTGCAATGCTCTGAAATTAGTATGAATGACTTACAATTGTTTCATGAATCTTTTTATGCCGTAAAGGACAAAGTAAAACAAGATATGTTCATATTAAAACATGTTATAGCTGTGCAAATAAAACGTCGTCGTCCTCGATCTAATACTAAGCATTACAATACCAGAGCTATGCAAAGAATATACAGGATTTACTGTAGATCTAAAAAAAAGATGGTATTTGTTTGTCAAAAAGCTTTTTTACAAATATTGCACATTAAAAGGTATCGGATAGAAAATGTGGTAAAAAATTACTATTCTAAAGGCAAATTCCCAAAGGAAAACCGTGGAGGTGACCATAAGTCACATAAATACAAAGATAAGAAATAAAATGTAATTTCATTCATAAAGAAATTTAAATGCACTGAAGCTCACTATTGCAGAGGCAATTCTAAGCGTATGTATTTGCCGTCAGAATTGAGCATAAATAAAATGGCCAAAATGTATAATGACCAGACAGCCGAACATCTAACAGTAAAGGCCTTATATTTTCGAAACATATTTAATACGTGTTTCAATTTAGGATTTGGGTCACCACGTGTTGATGTATGTTCAACTTGTTTGCAGTTGACGGAAAAAATAAAAGTCGCGAAAGAGTCTGATAAAAATCGGTTGATGATTGAAAAAACAGTCCACAAGAGACGTGCAAAGGCATTTTTTGATATGCTGAAAACAGAAGACCCTTCAACAAAAATAATATCATTTGATTGCCAAAAAAATATGGTACTACCTAAAATTCCAGATCAGAGTACCTTTTACTCGAGACAACTTTATTTTTTTAATTTCACGATAGTAGAAGGCAGTTCAAGATCATCATTGATGAAGCAAAATGTATTCAGTTACTGCTGGACCGAAGATGAATATGCAAAGTATTCAAATCTAATTTCATCTGCAGTTTTTCATCGACTTTGTAATACTGAATTTACACCTGAATGTAATTTACTTCGGATTATGGCTGATGGATGCGCCGGAACGAATAAAAACTCTATATTAATAGCTATGCTTTCGAAATGGTTAGTCCATCATGCACCAACGCAAATTAAAATTATAGAAATAGTGTTCCCCGTAGTGGGTCACTCATTTCTTCCTGCTGACCGAGTCTTTGCCCACATTGAAAAGCATCTGCGAAAAATGGAAAATATAATAAATCCTAGTAAATACATAGATGTAGTAAGTCAACATGCAACGGTTATTAACGTAGCAACAACATGTCAAATCTTCGACTGGAAAAGCACGTCAAAAGACATATTTTTAAATGTTGGTAAGTGGCATGTACCTTTTGCTAAATGCAAAAGATTCTATCTAAAAAGATCAAGCAGATGTAGTGACATGGTGGGCCTTCGAGGTGAATTGCACTATCGACAAGACTTAAGTCAGTATAAAAGTATTTGTAAAAAAAAAACCTCTGCAATGATTGCACCAACTATAATGACACAAGATGTGTCAATAAAACAGTTAAAACTGAGGGACGTCGGCCAATTACTTAAAACTCATTACGGCGATGATTGGCGCAGTTTAGATACCTTAGGATATTTTGCTCGAGTACTGCTACACGACATTCTTGTACATCATAATGTTGGTGATGACGGAGACAACGATAACCCTGAAGAGTCGATGTGCCAAGTCCAAGAGGAGCTACCATCATTAATAATTTAGTTTAAAAATATTTTATATTTTTAATTAATTAAACATGTAAGTAGTATTTCTTTTTATTTTTAAATAAAGTACCGCTAATTTAAAAAATGATTCAGATCACCAATATAATCTACCACACTCACAAACAGGGTCGTCTACAATTTTTAGTGTGGCGAGATAGGCACAAACATGTCCTAATCTCATGCGCATCAGATTTCTCGGTGGCATAGTGTTTAAGTGCCGCGGCCCGCGATTGTTGTCGTTAAGCAACTTTCGCAAGGGTCGGTCACAGGATGGGTGGCCAAAAAATAATTATCTCGAGCTACTCCGTGCTTCGGAAGGCACGTTAAGCCGTTGGTCCCGCCTGCAATTGCAGTCGTTAATACCCTCCAATCCGCATTGGGCCCGCGTGAAGGGTCATGGCCCATTCTCCTTAACCATCCATAAGGAAGGCCTGAGCCCCTGCAGTGGGGACGTAAAAAGGCTGGTGATGAAGCATGAACCTCTCGATAACGATCATAAGATCGTTGTGAGTATTAACTATTTTGGTTGCATATTGATAACATACTCACACAGTGTACAGTATGTCATGAGTTCATTCCGACGGACAAACAGACAGAAGCGGCCGGAGGACTTCAATTTATAATAAAATGATGTAAGGATTATAGTCTTTGCTATTCAAAGTGTCAATAATAGGTCAATACTAATACCAGGCGTAGTACATAAAAATAGGTATGTTTCAAAATAAGCAATGTCCACCAGACGCGTGCAATAAAAACAGCAAAGTTCAGTGGTTTGTTTCAAAAACAGCAAAGTCCAGACTATTTGTTCAATTTTTTTGTTACTGTGACGTATCTACGTAATTTCATTAATATGCAACCATTACATGATATATTTACTATATTTTTTTTATACTACATAAACCACTGAATGTACAAACAACCAATAATTCAAAATATAAGTATTGTGGCCAAAACACGGATATGGACATTGCGGTTTTTGATTCTAGTAGACTCATATTATGTTGCCTTGCTTGATTCGGTGTACAGATGTAGGTATAGCCAGATTTCGAAAGATATTTGATTCATTTCATCATCAATAATTCTCTCTTAAATGTCTACTTTGAGTGGACTATCGTTTATCTACTTCACTAAGTTATTGATACGTATGAATATTTATTTTCAATTGAAAACTTCTTCTTTTATTAAGGGCTTTCGCATAATTCTGCCAATTTCACGTGCGTAGCCAATACATGGTATGAATTATTTTATAAAATTAATTTTGTAAATAATATTTTCAAGTATAATGTTTCACTTCCTATTACAGCTTAATATTACAAAAAAATACACATATGGGGATTGTTTTAGTAGATATCCTACATTAAATTGTCATTTACAATTCAATTTTGTCAATTTCATTCTTCTTTTATTAATGGCATATCTGCGCATTTCACACAATTCTGCCAAAGTCAAGTGAATAAATTAATTTCTACAAGTAAAATGAAAAAGTAATGAATGAAAGATTAATTAAAACATTGTCTGTATCATTGTGGGTTTGTTTGTATTGACAAAAAGTGAATTGGTGTTGCAATATGAAAATCAAACATCGATTGGAAAATAATCGATTAATTCACTTTATGTAATAGAACTGCAGTAACATTTATTGAATAAAAAAAACTCAGGGATCAATGTTTACTTTCCTGCGACGCCGACAAGTCCAAAATATACTTTTAGTTAATTTTGGTGCAATATATATATATATATATATATATATATATATTGCATCAAAATTGCACCAATATATATATATATATATGTATATATATATTATTATTATTATGTAATTTCCAATGCCCGTAATTGGAAATGTTTTATGAAAACCTAATGAAGTCCCATGAAGTCACAATATGAACTCAACTAAGTCCATAATGTAGTTTGATGAAGTCCGATGATATTCAATGAAGTTTAATGAATTCTTGAAATAGATTGAAGTTACTAAAGTCATGCAATCATCATTTAACTTTAACATTTAATTTTTAGTACAAACAAATATATAAATTTAATGATTATTTTTGTTGTACATTCTTTTGAAACGGAGTTGTTTAAAGTAAAGTATACACCTCTGGATTAATGCTCGTCTTAGTCTTGGACTGATTGCATACCTCACTTCTTACAGTTTGTTAGTGACTGAAAATGAGTCAAAACTTTTCTGTTCACGACCTACCCATGTAGGTACCGATTTATTTTACGGAATCATATTATTCACTTTCATGCTACTTTATCTCACATAATAACATTTATTTTGCGAATTAAAACTCGGTATAAACAATAAAATAAACCAACACCATTCGAATTTTGAAACTTAACTCTTTAAGCTTGACGTTATCTTTAGTCGACGCCAGGATTATTATTATTGTATTTCATCTGACTTTTTGTGTTAATTAAAAGACTTAATTATATCGGATTTATGCTTTAAATATTAAGCATGTTTAAAGTTGAGTGCTTAATAATAGTTAGAATTGGGTATATGACGCTTTTCTGAAAACTAATTAATTAAAATAGTTGTTTGATGCATTATAAACACACTGTCAATATATTACATGAGAATCTGTTCTATTTTCGATGAATATAATTGTTAAAATCTACAGATTCTAAGAAATAAACTTTTATTAGATTATTATCTAACATGATGATAATAATACGCAACTTATTTTTATAGTGTCAAATACCCATAATGATAAAAATATTAATTATAAATTCGCGTTTCGGGTATTTTCCCTTATAGCTTAACACTTAGGTATGCACTTTCTTAATGTAGCTAATATTCGGGTGTTTCGTCCGTATTTTAAAAAGTTCGAATAAGAATATAATACATTCATTACGTACAGAAATGATAAAAAAATGAAGGAATGAATAATCATAAATCGTCTCCCGTTTAACTAATAATTTCATTTATTTTATTCTGGTAACACTAATGACAGCTGTTTGATTCGGCTGCGATTTGGCTACGATTACGTTTCAGTTTAGTAAACGTTCGTTTGATAATTGACGTTAGCGAAATGCAAATTTACAGCAAAAATCGAAACGTAACCGTTACAGAAACGCTATTGATGATCGATCGTTGTAAATTAGTAGAAACCCCCTGTAACGTTAGCGTGGCGAGTCGAAAATATCAGTTTCTGAGCTCCAAACTTTACAACAAAATAAAAAAAATCCTTAAAATTTATAGATGGCATTAGTTGACATAGACATGAATCAAACATCATTCATTAGAAGTTCAGTTGTGTTTTAAAAATGCAAAGTGAGTGAGTGGTGTTACATTTCGTCGAAGGTAAATATAATATTTGTCCATTTACACTAATAAAAGGGTATTGCATGTATCAATTAAAGCCCGCTTAAACGATTGTTCATTATTATTTTGCAAAGGAAACGTTTCATCAGTTACTAATCGTATCTGAAACATTTGTAACCTCCAAATTGTGAAGTGGCCAATTCCGGCCATAAATGTAGGGGCAATTTCGTCATATGCCGGATTTTCCCAATTTCAGATATTATAAACATTTTCTATCCCAGGAATCTTAATGAAACAAAACAAGCTACTGAAGCTATTGAGTTGTACTACAATATAATGTTTCACTTATAAAAAATAATAATTTGGTGTATTTTTCGAGTAAACGAATGTATCATTTATTTCAGATTAACTGATATCACCATATAAAATGCGCAATTACAAAAGGAAAACCAATAAAGGTTCTTATGACAAAAATGATTTGCGTGAAGCCGTATTAGCAGTACGTTATGGTACATTAAGTGAGTACAAAGCTTCACAACTTTACAAAATACCAAGAATGACTATTATAGATCATGTAAACAGAAAGAGAAAGTCAAATCTTATTGGGAAGAGAACTGCGTTGCCTTTGGATATTGAAACTAAGTTAGCATCATGTATCCGTATGGATGAACATGGAGAAACATGGATTTGGCGTAACTAGACAAGAAGTGTTAGAAATGGTTGGAGAATATGTGAAAAAAAAATAACATTTCTACATCTTTTAAAAATATGGTACCAGGAAAGGATTGGTTTGTATCGTTTGCTAAACGACACAATTTGTCAATAAAAAAACCACAGGCTATGGAAAATGCTCGAAAAACTGCCTTAGATCCCTTTGTGGTTTTTCCTTATTTCGACTTATTAGAACAAAAACTAGAAGAATTAAATTTAAAGCAGAAGCCATATGTTATTTGGAACATGGACGAAACTAGTTTTTGCAAAGACCCTTGAAAAACTAAGATCGTAAGAGTTAAAGGTCACGCGGCAATTAGAATTATTGCCACTCCTGGAAAAGACAACACCACGGTTCTTCTATGTGCAAGCGCGGCTGGGCAAAAAGCGCCACCACTAATCATTTTTAAAGGGAAGAATGTTTGGACCACTTGGACTTCACCTGAAGCATATTCTATTAATCGCAATGAGATCAACCAACACGTTTTCGACTGCTTAAAGCTAAAGCGTTGGCAAGAAAGCATTTCCAATCCATTAGCACATACAAAACAGGAACCACCAACGTTGTCTTACATTACACTAAGGTATCTTAGTAAGATAATGAATTTTGTCCGAAAAAACGATATGATAGCTGGTGATAATTGAACTAGAAATGTCGAGTTTACCTCCTTTGAAGAACTACTTTTACAAAAAATTAAAGGCAGTAACAACTCTCCAAAAACAAAGAGACGAAAAGTGGCCCTCGGTGCCGAGGTTATAACCCACGATGACGTTATTCAATTTAAAAAAGATGAACTAGCAAAAAAAATAAGAACGGAAAGGCAAAAGCAAAAGACACATCGTCAACGGCACACAATGTTGATGTTGTTCGGTTAAGTAATTTGTCTAAGAACGACTCGCAGTTGTTACCTTTTGCTGCCAGAAGTTCTGAAGAGATCCCTCGTTGTTTGCAAAAATGTAATTCTACACCTTCAAAAGTGCAAATTTTATCTAATGTCGTTATTAAAAGCGCAACCAAA